CCCACAAGACGCGTGATGGAACTCAGTAGTGGACTGTTTTGAGCACTATATCAAGAACTGGCCTAATCTGATGACAGTTTGTGAACAAAATCGTGGAAAAAAATAGATGGCACTGTCACAGCCAAAGTTCTCAACATGGGGCTTAAGAGAAATGTTGAACACAAGCCTATTTCTGCAGCCTTGAACAAAATGCAGGGAAACAGCTGTTTTATTGCCGACACTGTTGAAATTTGGAAGGAACTGAGAGATCTTAAAGAGAAATATGCAACGACAGAGTTAAATTACAAGCATTAAAAAACAAATGGGACAAGCACTATCTCCAGCTCATTTTCTTGCAAATATTCTCAACATTTGGTCCCAGTGTCAAACCTTAACTGCTGAAGAAGAGGAGTTGGCTATGACATGGACATCCAGCAATCATCCCTCCATAATGCCAACTATAATAAACTTCAGAGCTAAGGGTGAACCTTTCAAGAAATATATGTTTGCTGATGATGTTTTAAAGAAAGTCACACCAGTGAACTGGTGGAAGTCACTTAAGCAGTTGGATTCAGAGACTGTTGAAGTGATAATCTCACTTTTAACAGCACTTTTCTGCCGGCGTAGAAAGAATATTTTCTTCCTTTGGACTAATTCATTCCAAATTGAGAAATCGTTTGGGACCTGAAAAAGCAGGAAAGCTTGTTTTTCTTTTCCAGATTATGAACAAACAGGAAAATGAAGGTGAAGACGACTAAGTTAGCTGCAGAAGCCAATATTTTAAGTTTCTCATGTTGACCTGGCTGACATAGTCAATTAAATGAAATATTTAAAAAAAAAATTAAACTATTTTAGTTAAAAACAATTTTAACAAAAACAAACCTGATTTTAAAAAACTTGAATGTTTAACTAAATTCAAATTTCATATGCTTGTTTTGTTAAAATATTATATGTTTGCTGTTAAAGAGAAAGAATCCAGAATACATAACGTTGTTTTAGTTAAATAAAAATTTAAATGTTTGTCTGGTGATGTTCGCCTCCTAGTGCAAGATGGCAAGAAAATTCTCCAAATATTAATGATTAGCCTGTTGAATTGGAGATAGTTCACCTCCCAATGACTTCATAAATATCTGCTTCAATTACCTTTGGTAAATGAAATAACTAAACCATCATTCATTTTCTGATATGGCTGTAAAACTAATCTGAAAAGTTTTCAAAATAAATCACTTAAAAAATGTATAGTGTGTACTTTCTAAAAATGAAACCTACATCTATATCTGAGTTGTGAAGAATATGTATTAAGGTTATAACAATCAACAAGAATGCATTTTTATGTAGAAATCCATGATTAAATAGAGTCTTCTTGACTAGTGTTTTAAATCATGATTTAAATCAATTTGATTTAAATCAAATCCACCCTGATCCCATTCTTTATGCATCAAAGCATCTTGTTTGTTTTTTAAAACCACAGCTGCACATTGAACAGAGGTCATCACTGAGCTGTCTATAATGCTGCCTAGGTCCCTTTCCTGAATTGACACAGTTAATTTAGAACCCTACAAGGCATATAAGTAGTTTAAATTTTTCCCTCTAATGTGCATTAGTTAGCATGCATCAACACTGAATTTCATTTGTCATTATGTTACCCGTTCCCCCAGCTTGTTTTCTCCCAATTATTAGTCAGGCATTTACATTAAGCAGATGTTAACAAAAACCAGAAAAATTAAGAATTTTAAATTGACTAATAAATAAATAAAGCTGTCTTCTCAATTGCTCAGGTTTCAGTCTTTGTATGGTATACCCTAAATACTCTCTAGTCATCTTTAAAGACCAAAGACCTCCTGCAAGAACAGGGTAGATATTTCTAATGGAAAAATAAGTGGAGGAGGAGAGGGGCTGGAGGAGATGCTTTAAAACAAAAAGAACCTTTCAGAACTTCTTTACATCAGAAAGAATTAAAAAAGGGTACAAGCTCCTTTAAAAGAAAAAAGAAAAAAAACATTTGCAGGTAACTCAGATGCATTTTCACTTCTGTACAAGAGAGCATCTGCTGGCACAACACAGGAAAATGTTATAATCACACAAAAATCTTACTGTATGTAGTTTCTACATGTACTACAGCATAACTTCAAGTCTTTATGATACTTTAAAAAAAGATCATCTGAACACCTTTTTGCCCAAACATTCGTATTGAGGTCCAGTTACAAAAATCTATTTCAGAGATTTGGGAGATTTTCCAAGTCTGAATTAAATTCACCAAACTCAAATGGTGGACTTAATTTTGCTTAAACACTCCTACCTCCAGACATGAACTTTCAGCCCAAAAGGAAAATTTGTAAGGAAGTTACAAGCAACAATGAAGAGGGATAGAGACTTCAACAGGCATCTTCAGACTTCATTGCCACTGACAGACAGAAAGACAGCTTGTACGACAGAGAGGCTGTGTTGGATTGTATCATAGCAACAGGGCCAAAAGGAGGATATCACTTGGGAAGGGTCCGCATGCTGTAGGGCCATGTTTGAGTTATGAAGGGACCAAGAAGTGAGAAGCATGGAGAAGAGGTAAGTGTGATGGCGACAGCACAGTAGAGAAAAAGGAGACAGCTACAAGATTAAGAGGAGATTGGAAAAGGGGCAATGAGGCCAGTAGGAGACTGTGGTTTTGTCGACACTGGTGGCAGCATGTGGGGTACATGTAATATTATTACTGGGGGATTTCCAAGCCAAAAAATTAAAAATTCTACGCACAATATTTTAAAATACTGTATATTTTATTTGTCAAAACACCACAATATAATCATGCCAGTTTCAATTATTTTGGTAATTTATTTCAAAATATCTGTCAGCAAGTATGTCTGTAACAATACAGACCAAAAAAGAGATTCTGGTAATTTTTTTTTTTTTTATTACACAAATAGATTCCTTACTAGGCATATTAATACAGAACTTTGAGTAATCCATTTAAATTACAATACCAAATTGTATTTCCTGCACCTGTCAGAA